CTTTAAAAAAACCATCCTTTTTCATCTTTTGTTCATTTATCTTTAAGTGAGCATTGCTCTTCTTTAGTTTTGATAACTGCATACCGCTTAAATATCTGGAAAGAAGTAATCCCTCGGAAGCATTAAAAACAGCAAAGTTTCATGCAAATTGCAGACTCGGTTAGCCAGTGTTAGGTTGTAAATTACTTTGTCGCCCATGAACAAACACAATACAAGTGTTACTGCGACATTACAAGTACTGTAAATTATTTGCTTTATTGAAATTTCTCTTGTAGGCTGTCCCCTTGTCTAAATTTTATACTCACAACTGCAGATAGCAAGTTCTGTTAGGCAGCTATAGCAATGTGCCTTACATCATCTAACTATCTTTTGTTCACTTATCTTTAAGTGAACGTTTAGTATTCATGATTAAGTACCCCTTTAAAAGAACGCATTGCATTTTTCTCTCGTTCCTACTAAGGTTTAAGAAGAAGGGAATATCATTTTTAATGCAATTGTCGCTGCCTCGATTTTTGGGCATGGCGAGGCGAAATATCCTTACCTCTGATAAATGTGGAATTTCTATTTGGCCACTCGCAGAGAAATTAGAAATAATTGGTTAGCTATCTAGGAAACCAATTAGGCGGACCGACCTCCGGCATATGACCAAATGTATAGATGTCGGGGTAAGACAGACAAACAGACGAACATTTAATCTTTGTTTAACTGCTCTCTACTTTTCCCGATTTTTAAGATTACTAAGTCCCAAATGTGTGAATGTATATTTTTGATATGATTACTTTTTGTATGTATTTCAGGTTATTATTTCAAAGCAACAACACAAACCAAATATCCCGAGGATTTAAGATCATCCACTGATACTTCATCACATGTACGTAAATCACTTTGATTTTGATAAAGCCATGTTAGGTGCATAAGAGATGTTTTCCAATATACATAATTATATATATATTGCATAGAATCAGCAGATTTCTTCCTTTCACTGCTCTTGAAAATTCCCCCATTGTCAGAATTGCTAACAAAATGTGTATGCTGATTCAAATGTTTTTGTTCTTTGTAAGATATTAAAATATTGATCTTTTTATTCAAATATTTAAACTCCCATGAAACGTATTGGAGATAGTATGTAATGCTTTATTACTATTAAGATTGTATATATAAAAAAGAAAATTTCAAATTGTACTGCATTCTATTTCCATTACAAAGTTATTGGTATACTTTATTTATGTCTTTCGAATGGAGCCTGTAATTGTCCCCTCTGTTATACTTGCAGCAAATTACATCAAATTCACTTGACAGCAACTTAGGCTCGGACTCGTTCTCAGATATTGGTCTCAAAATTTTTCTCCCAGTTGGGTTGGTATTGGTGATAAGTTTCATCGTGCTTTTACTGGTATTATCATACCGATACTACCGTAGGTACTACTTCCGCGGACAAAATTGTTCACTTGTGAAAGCTAGTGAGGATAATCAAATTCTGGACAAGTTGAATGTTGTAAATAGAAATTCATCTTACTTTGAAACCAATGTAGGAGAATATGGCAAAAAGTGGATCAACGGAAGCATTTCAGTCGATAATTTAAGATTGATAGAAGTGATTGGGGAAGGAGCGTTTGGTCAAGTCTATAAAGGTATGGCAGAATGCATTATAAATAAATTTTGATATTGTGATATATTATAAATAAATTTTAATATTGTGATATATTATTAGTTGTTATATATAAGGTATGTTCATTAAAATTTACAGTTACTTAGCAATTTGTCATTTAACTATGTACATGCTATGTACAAAAAACATACTTGAGAAACTTTTATGTATTGTTTTAAAACGCTCTAATATGTTCACTTACAAAGGCAAAACTATCTTTTTAAGGCGAGCTTATTCAACCAGATGTAAACGAAACTACATTAGTAGCCGTTAAAGTGTTAAAAGAGGGCGTGTCACACGAGGCACGTGATGACTTCGAGCGCGAGGTAGAAACCATGAGTGCCTTTGATCATGATAATATCCTTAAACTTCTGGGGACTGTGTCTACAGGTGAGTTTTCATTTGGTGCTTATCCGTTAATAATAATGCATGATTATAACTGTATGAACGGACACAGCTACCGATTGTTAAATCATCCAAAACTTGAATTCAGCTGATGCTAGCAAACCTGGAAGAAGGCTTGCATTAATCACTGTCGATCATGAACAGGCCTAATCAAACAGAGTCAACAATAGTTTTATCGTTTTGTGGTTGCGGGATTCCGTATTTATTTATTGATTGTAATAAATAATTAAGCTTACTTTTTTAGAAGTTTTGATTTACTCATGTTAGGTCCTCCTAAAATTGTGGTCCCTAAATCAATAATGTTTTTTTTTGTCAGGCAGTAAATAATGTCAATAAAAATGTTGATGAATTGTATTTCAGCTGGTTTACTTGGTATTGCATGCAAGCAACTGTCTCTTTCTGTTAATTAAAATAAAATGATAGAACCAATGCATGGTTTCAACACTATGAAACTGATTGTTCGGAATAATATTAGTTTCTTTAGTCATTAAAAATGATCATATACATTAATCTAAAATCATAATAAAATGTCTTCAGAACATCTGCTGGGTCGAGAACAGTGTTAATTTTGACTGATAATATAACTTTAAGCGGATTGAAAACCTGTTGAGTTGATACTCAGATGTGTTACCTCTTAATTTGGATAGAAATACCGTATATCAGGTTATTTTCCTGTATGGCAAATTTCGCGATTTTGGCAGTGATCTAAATTTAGTGAATATTGTTGGACATGTTTCTTTTTCAGCATTTTTCTGCTGACAAGGACAGAACCATGTTTAAACTGAGCGTTATTATTTTAACAGTTAAAACTTTGTTTTCAATTTTACTATTAATGTATCGGTTGCAAGTATGTGTTCGATATTTCACACTAATTATTAGTATTGTTATGATTTTGGTAGTGTTAACGTGTAATTGTTCAGCTTCCTATGTTAGCACGGTTAGAATTATCTTATTCTATCGAAATCCTGGTTAAAATGAGTAAACAAAAATACTGTTCGCTGACTGTGTCACTTGAGAATTTTATGTATTTTAAAAATAATACAAAAACGACCCCCCCCCCCCCAAAAAAAAAAAAAACAACAACAAAAAAAAAAACATGCAAACAAACAAACAAAACAACATTGAATTCCAAACAAAACAACTATGGTTATCGAAAAATTGGTATTTAATAAATGATTTGTCTGTATCACAATGTGAAATGAAAAGAAAATTAAACTGTGTTGCATATCTAAAGCAGAAAACAAATGCAAAATCCCCGTATTATATAGAAGGACAAATAAAGCGAATCTATTTTTTCGCGATATCCATTGCACGCGAATAAGGCAAAAGGTAATTGCTTTTAAAATGGCCACCCTGCAGAGGTTTAAATGAAACAGTTGATACACATGTATCATAAATTGAAACATTTTTTCAGGGAACAACGACACCCCTTATATGGTGTTTGAATACATGATGCACGGTGACCTGACAGAGATGCTTAGGAAGAATGAGCCAACTATTACAACTACTGACACTTCTGTAATGTTGCAAAAGGTAGTATAAAATTAAACTTGAGTACCTCTTCTTAAAAAATATATATAAGAGGGGTGTCGCAGAAGTAAAGAGACTTTAGTCATAACTGCTATATTACATTGTAACAGTTACTCGTGTCATTTTTTATCCTCATTTTTAGTATGTTTCCCATGTTTATTAAACAAACCCTCTACATCGACATTCTTTTGTTTACTACTTAAAAAAGCCGAAGCGTTTTCGAGGTAACATATGTGGCGAGCGGCGTATTTGTCCATTGTACTTTTAATTGTTCTAATTTGCTGTATATATGAAACCCTTATTTTCATTATTTTATAAATTCAAATGTAATACAAATTCAATAAATCGAATAACAAACTTCATAGATAAAATCGCATTTTAAGACATTCTGATCATTTTGACTTTGTATACTGATATACTATATATATATGACTAAAGTCTTTTATTTTATGCTTTTCAGTGGATTACTGATTTATCCGTGAAAATTATATTTGATAATTTCACAGTGAAAATTATCAAAATATAATTTCACTTTTTTCAATGACGAAACTACTTTTTTAAGATTTTCCCCATGTGGTACCTCTATTTTATTTTTACTGACAATTCTGACAATATCAGGCTGTTAAAAAAATAGCAAAGCTGAAATAGATAAATAACTTAAATGTCAAAAGTAATAAAGAGAGAAAATTTACTTCTATTCCTTCAAATTCCAATCACAAAATTTCGTCTCTAAATTTTTTGTTTTGTTTTTACAGTCTAAAAAATACATTCCTTCCCCATGCTAAACTGCTCTTGATGACATTTGGGCATATTAAAGTATCCTACGAGCAATAACTGCCGTATGCTTTATGAAAAATTGAAAAGCATTGACAGCCATCAATCGTAAAATATGTAAAACAAACCAGCGTTCCTTACAATGCCTTAGCACTTCCAAGTTTGCCATTTTCCTAGCTTCTTTTCTGAATGTTTTCACTTCTGTCAACACTTATTTTTTGTCTGTTACAATCCTCAATTAAGTTTTTTTTTCTTTTAAAAAGGTGTATGACTAACAAATCCAAATTATATCCTTCTGAATCTTACACAATTATTTTCCTCCCATGAAATACACAACTTTAAAAAATGGCTGCCGCTTACATTTTACAAAGCCAGGTCTAATATAAATTCGCAGTAAGTAACAGAAATATGGATGGATGGTTGGACTTTTTCTCCTACAAGAATTGTTTGTTTTTATTATTAAAACAAGCGATCTTTCATATCTTTTTAATAAAATGAATAAATATCACCGTCATTTAACCTTGATTGGCGGACTTATTTTTCAGCTCAAGACTTCTTGTTTTTAATGAGAAATTCCCTCTAAATGGGGCTCTCAATGGGGGAAACAGATTTTAATATTAACGTTAAAATTATGGAAATTTCGTTTTAACTTGTTTTAAAGCATAAAATAAAAAGAAAATTTGTCTGTTTGTTGTGTAAGATGTAATTTTATTTCATCTCGTGAACCATAAAAACAGTATTCTCACTCGTGGCTACGCCACTCGTGAGAATACTGTTTTTAAAGCCCACTCGATGAAATAAAATTTCATCTTACACACAAACAAACAAATATCCTCTATGTATTCATTATTTAAAATCATATGAATGATAATTTATTCTAGATGGCAACAGATGCTTATCTTGGATAATAGTAATGGATAATAGTTAGTAGTTTATTTGCTTGAATACTAATGACGTAGAAAATGGAGAAAAAAACAACAAAATCGCTAAAGAAAACCTCAAAACGGCTAAATTGAATGATCCTAATTACTTTTTCAGACTGACCTTGTTGACATTACGATACAGATTGCCAACGGTATGAGATATCTGACGTCACAGCATTTTGTTCATCGTGATCTTGCAACGCGTAACTGCCTCGTAGGTGATGGTTTGATTGTAAAGATAAGCGATTTTGGGATGTCACGTGATATTTACACTTGTGATTATTATAAGGTAGGTCAAGGTTTATAATGTCTAAATGTCTGCGTTTTTATTTAAATATTTTCTAGAGGTGTTTGTACCATTTAATAAAAGTCTTAACAAATAAAATAGATAAACACAGAATCCCTAAAGAAAGCCCAACACGGCAAAATTGAAAATGTTGCAGGCTCGGTTTGATTGAGCCTGTTCATGGACGGTAATGGAAAGTGCAAGTTATCGTCCACGCCCCCTAGCACCGGCTTAAGCAGAATTCAACATTTAAACGTGAAATAGTAAAATTTTTAATTTAGAAACATCCGCAGATGTGTTCATACGGCGGTTATCATGGAACCTTCAATGTGACACTTTCGTGCCATTCCATGAAAAGCGGCGTATGGTCCCCAAGTAATAAAAAGGGTATGCCCTAAACGAGAAAACAATGGGCGGAACTAAATAAAATGGAATTTTGAAAAGGGATCAGAGGTTATGAAGCCTGCGTATCACAGATAAGACGTCAAAAGACAAATTTAAAAAGCAGGCAACATATCCTAAGGGTGATTTAACATTATTCAAGTAGGAATATTGGAACCACCCAACTAGAAAATGCCGAAAAGTTGAAACTAAAAATACCACAAGCACAACAATAATGTCGTGCTGAACGATCTTCATGTGTAAAATGTCAGATCATTCGCTCCATTTGTTTTTGTTGTTTTTTGTTGCTGGTTTTTTTAAAATACTTATTCTGATTAGTAAAAAAATATGTCTTACAAATGAAATGCGTTTTAACACCTTTAACTAAAATTGGAAAACAATAGTACAATAACTCAAGTTTAAGTTTTAGTTTGTATATAAAACCTCTTAATTTTAAAAGAACACCACTGACGCTTTTCAACATGACCTGACATGACGGTACTGGAAATAACTTTGACCGAAATCTTTAGCTCAAACTTTAAGATTTAAGCCCATTTAGTTGTTCTGAATTAATTTATTTCATTTATGAAAATTATTAAAAAATAAATGGAAAGCGTTTATACATGTATGTTTTATCATCTTTTGAGATTTTACAATTTAACGTGCCTTAGTTGATCTATTCATGAAATTCAGCTTTTCAATTAATACTTTAGGCTTTGTTGACATCAGTAGAGATCTTTTTAGTATGCTTTCACCGCGTGCATTAATTAAGAATCAAATATTTTTTTGGCTTCCTTTTATGGTGCTATATATTCTGTTCCTTTCTATCGCAGAAAGCCTTATTAAGATTTAGGGTTCTCTTCCTTACCACATTTTATGAATTTTTAAAAGAGATATCTTTATTTCTAATAATATTCCAGTTAAACTTTTAAATCACCTCTTTGTGTGTTGTTTCCTTCTCTCTTATATAAATAATTCTATTTCTAGAAAAGCGGTATCACTGCATTACGATTTAAATTCAAAATTAAGGTTGACTTCCTCTCCTGAGACTTGGCGATCAAAAGATATATTTATTTTTTATGATAGTTCAGTAAATGGTCCAAATCACCTCTTTGAATGATATTCCCGTCCCTCTTATGTAATATATTCTATTTATAGAAACATAATACGATATATTACGATATCAGTTTAAAATAAGGATTAACAATTTTGTTTTAGATTGGGGGATCAAGAATGTTGCCGGTACGATGGATGTCACCAGAAGCTGTGAAATGGGGACGATTTACTACAGACTCTGATATATGGGCATTTGGTGTTGTTCTGTGGGAGATCTTTAGCTACGGGCGACAACCCTACTATGGACATACAAACGAAGAGGTAATTTTCTAATGTATTGAAACAGAGAAAACTATAGTCTCCAAAGACATTCCAATACGGCAAATCTGAAAATGTTACAGGCTCGGTTTGACTAAGTTTGTTCCTGGACAGTACTGGAAAGTGCAAGCTACTGTCCACACCTCCTTACACAGGCTTTAGCAGTATTCATCATTTAAACATGTAATGATTTTTTTTTTTTAAATGTTTTTAATTCGCCTTGCACATTTTTCAATATAAGATTAATAAATCGTTTTAGTGCAAATCTTAGGGTCATTATTAATAACGATTAATAACAAAATGCATTGTTTCTATTTAGGTTATTAGATTTCTGGACGATGGAATTTTACTGCAGAGGCCCGAGGAATGCTCATCCATAGTATATCACGTTATGTTACAATGTTGGAAAATAAATCCTAAAGAACGACTGGCATTTGACAGAATCCACAAATATTTGACCGAATACAGCAAACAACTTCAAAACTCCTCAAAACCTGCATCATATAATGTGGTCAATGAATATGAAATTCCTCAATAAGCACTTCAAAATAACTTTGTTATTTAAGAACTGTCGTGATTGATAAAGTGATTGACAATACAAACGATGGACCTACTTTCCGTGTTTGATTCGTAGCCAAGATAGGAGTTGCATTCATTCTTTTTAGTTATTAGTTATTAACTACAAAATTATGGCGCTCAAAAGTCGATTGGCTCGAAATATTCCGTTAAAGTATACCATACGATACTACATAACTTTTTTATTCTATTTTCTAATTAATAAAGTAGTCTTATGGAACAATTTACTGATAGGAAATCAAAATGCAGATTATAACAAGAGTGTAGGTTTTTACTTATCAATAATGGAAACAACAAAGCATACATTCAATATTTATGAGAAATTTGACTAGGAAGAAAAAGCAACACACGGTTTTATTCGTTCATGAGAAACTATATTGTGTTCAAATTTTAGGTTTTTAACAATGAATGTATTTTTTGTTCAAAAGTTTATGTTCATGGTTGACTTAGAAATTGTAAATTTATCTTGTGTTTATGAGAGAAAACTTTATTTGTAAATAGAATATGATCTTTATATTTTATCTGTCTATCAAGTTATAGTGTGATTACTTTACATTTATCAAGAATTTTGTAATAAAAACGTAGTTTTTAAAACAATAACCTGTTTCTTTTTATATGTCAATTATGGTCGCTGAAGAGTATAGCATAACGGTCGATCTCAATGCATTAACAATGTTATATTAAATAACGAAATGCCATTTTAATACTTTCAAGTGTTAAATATTACACATTTTCTTTCACAAGTTACATTTAATTTCATGTCATCTTAAAATATTTGAAATGGAATTATGATAAAAGAGAACTATATTAGATATTCCACCGATAAATCTATTGTATGTTTGCAAAAACTTGTCTGTTGTTTGGCAAACCTTTATTTTCTCCCCTCTAGTTTTGAAAGTTTGAGAGTAAGCAATCACCTCAGATAGAACATTATTTTAGACCACAGATGTATTATTTCAAAGAAGAGCGGGAACCCGAGTAGAACCACCGGCGTTCAATAACTAAACTAGATAAAATTTACTGTTCCACTTCGTTTTACGTTTACATTTTACACTATAATTAATCATCATGTAAGAAAATGTGTTATATTAATGGCCACTCTTGCTTGGGCTAAAAAAAACGATAAATTTCTAGAACTCACTTTCGTACTATGACCCGGGTATATATATATATTTAAACTTTCATCATGTTTCAGAAGTTTCAATAACAAATCATGTACCAAAGTCCTTATAACCATACATAAGTTTTTGCAAAGTGATAATTTCTGCAGTTACGACACATATAATATAAAGTTTTCACATAAAATATTATTTTCGCTGCGTTAAAAATGTCGAACAACCATTTACTGTCGATCATTCATAATATTTTAAGAATTTTACATCTTCGTCTGAACGCAAATCACATTGATTCCATTAGTAAAATATTTCGCTATCAAGAAATCCGTCTAAACCACATTTTTTTAGATTATTTGTGACGAAGTTTAATGGTTTGTAACTCAATTTATTTGAATGGAATCCAAAATATAAATTGTGATAAACATGACTTAGTGCTTAGCTGAAAGAAATAAAAAGGTTTGATAGCAAACTTTCAATTCAAATAAATCATTACAGGCTATTTACTTTATCAGTAAGTTCATAGAAGGCAATTCAATTTTGGACAATTAATTTTGCCTGAATTTTATCCCCATTACATAGTGTTTTTGTCACTTTATCAATTAGTTAACCCTTAAAATAAAAAGGAAATTTAATTTTGGACATTTAAATTATGCTTGCATTTTATGTCCATTACATTGTTTATTTGTCCGGGTGTATTTTATTGTTTACGTTGTTTTACGCTGATTGGTACACAAGTTTGTTAAAAGGTCGGCGTCCGCCAACTTTACCAGCTCACTGGATAACTATCCAGTCAGTTCTAATTTCTCCGGAAGTGACCGGCTAGTAATCCGGTATGATTTCGGTATCGCCCATGAAGGACGGATGACCATTATCAGAGATCAATCGCCACGGATAAAAATATGTGTGCGTAACAATAGTCATACATATGCACAAAAATGTTGATAAAACGTCACAAAAATACATTATAACTATTATTCCGAATTAATAAAAAAATGTTTAAAAATACGGACAAAACACCCGGCACATTTTTCAATATTCATATATCACTTATTTGCGCTACCAATTATTTCCTTGTGCATCCCATTGACAATTATTACGTATCGCAAACAAACTGGCATGATGAGGTTGGGCCTAATGTATAGACATTTCCGTCATAACATATCTTTCCATCGGAATAAGTTATAATTGGATTATCGTTTGGGAATATTTTTTTTAATAAATAGTTCCGTCCTGTAATTGTTTGATTATCGAGAACTGAGTTGAATAATATCTATTTTGTACCCAATACGTGTTTGATTATGTCACCAGTAAAGTACAAGTCAGACGTTTTAAATTTGCACTTTTATATTAACCAATATCACGAACATATGTTTCGGGAAAAATTTAATGATTTGGATAAAATTGTATTGAATAGCAAAACGTGCAGATCATACTTAGACGGAACGGATTTTTCACATGATCTTGGTCTACACTGGCACGGGACAAATCAGTTGTCGCCAGCCGGTTAAGGGGTAATTTGCTTTTGATTTTGTACACAAACGCTAATAACTTTCACAGAAGCAAATTCAATGCTAGGATAGTACGTCATCGCGTACCTGCAAAATGCTCCAATTCAAAATGTTATTTTGTTGACTCGGAGATAATTGTTTTGTTCATTCTACGAAATCCTTATAATATCAAAAAAAAATCTGGCCATTAAAAAATAAATTATATTTAAATAAAAAACATTTGAATATTAACTTTCTTGTTAAAGCCTGATAAAGGGATACATTTTGTTTTAGAGTCTGAGTGGGAGCATTTAGGAAAACAAAACTTTATCCTGTTTTAGGTCTTAAATAGGCAGTAATACTTGACAAATTAATTTAAATTATATTTACGATTTCTTAATGTAAAAACATATTACAAAAAAAGCACAAAAAAAGAGAAGCGAAAAAAACAAAAACAAAAAACAACACTTGAGAGGATTTTGCAGATGCGAGATGACGTAGTATCCTACAATGAAAATTACAGTTAATTAAACGATGCGATACTTTTTTATGTTGAATAATAGATAATTATCACCAGTTGTGACTGTTACTATTTATAAATAGCACCGACACAAGGAAACTCTTACATATTTTATTTTGTTAATGAAACTGGCCTTAGTATAATGAAATCGTTCCGTTTATATTGCAATACTTAATAGAACAAATGAAGCATTAAAGTAATAAAACACCATGCAAAAGCACTATATATATCTCCCTTTTACTTAAAGAGCAGCTAGATTTTTTCATGTAGTCAATTACTAGTCTTACTGTCTAAAATGAGAATATTATTATTTTTCACCATTTTCTTGCATATACAAAATAAATACTAATCTTTCTTGTATAAATAATATTGCAATTTTAATATTTCTTAAGATTATAGTCGTTTTTTTATCATATTTTATCAAGCATTTATGTTCTAATACAACAACATAATAAAAAAGAAAGTACCGATTTGAGAAAGGTAATTAATTAAAAAAAGTATTGAAAAACTCAGTATGTTTGACCATTAACAATTACTATTAAATGTTTATAGAAGGGATAAATTTACAGACATGCATGATAAAATTTTTAATAATTTAAAACAACCATGTCATTTTATAAACATATATAAACACGTTTCGTAATATAATTTATATTTCATTTTACGGCTTCTCCCAGAAGAGAAGAACTTTCATTTATTTTTGTTACTAAAATGTATCAGATTTTTACAATAAGTGGCAAAAAAGTGTTATAATATCTGTCAAATTTTGCGGTTCGGATCGGAATATCCGTCCCGAGGTGACCCGCCCATTGGGCGGTAACGAGGCTTGCCGAGTTACCGCCCATGGGCGGGTGACCGAGGGACGGATATTCCGATCCGAACCGCAAACATATGTCAGATATTTTTTCTTGCATATTCTACCATATTTCATTATATTTCAAATTCTTTATCTTTATTTTCAATGAAAATTTATATCATTACAACCGTAACTACTTTCTTACAGCAGCGTATGAATTACAAAATTATTCATAACGGTAAAATGACGTCATCTTTATCGTGCCATTGTACAGCACGCGACTCATCTGGAACCCCCCATGCCAGATGAAATTTCCGGCATGGGTAAAACTAACGGAAACGCCAGTCTGATATGCAAGAATACTTATTCCCATGTTTGTATTGATAAATTCCATGACTTTTGATTATTATGACTGTGGATAAACCATGATGGTATTTCTGAATAGAAATGGATATTTGATATTTAACCGCGATTATAATATCACAATGGTTAGGCCAGTTATAAAAATGAATATATCAAATATAATTATTATTTTCATTGAGACATATAAACACGTGTTTGTATATTATGTCAGTGTAAAACGTAATGTTTTTATAGATATTATAATAGTGGATATTATAACAGTATAATTGACTTTTTTAAAACACCTGAAAGGAACACATGAGAGCAACGCACCTGTTTTGAATACATACTTACTATAAAATACATAAATAAAATCCTATAAAAACATATGTTAATTCCATAATTCTAAATGTACCGTGTAACGGGTTTTTTTCTGGTTCTAATGTTATCTTAATATAGAAAAATGTGCAGAACAAATCATTTTAAAAATATTTCTTACGCATAATTAATATTTTTTTGATAACTTGAAGCATGTAGAAGTAAAAACAACAACAACAACAAATTCACACTTTATATTTCTCTTTGAACGTAACTTGATGATTTAAAATACACGTAATTATATATAGTTGTTGATTGCTACTTTTATAGGATATAAATGCCATACTCAATTATAAAATTCAATAACTCACCTGAGTTTGCTAGCTGCTGAATCTTTTTTCAATACGTACATTGCTTTATAACTATACAAATATAATATAATATAAACTTTAGGTATATATTGAATGATTCTATTTCATACTATACTAATCTTTAAAACGGGATTGACAGGCATATTGATGGCTTTGAAAACAATAATAGGTTTT